GAGAAACAGAATTATTCACATCAGTCTCTGCCTCAAGAGAGCTCTCATCTAATATCCAAACACAGTCATGCAAGCACCCATAAACACTTTACAGTCAATTTGGTTGGAAGCAAATGAACCGCTTGCGCAGTGGACGAAAATGCATGAAAATCCACACAGGGAGATAATATCTTCCATGCAGAAGGAATTGGGGATTAAAGATAGCATCCATCTAGGTCAGGGGTCTCCAAACTTTTCAGTACGAGGGTCACATCATGTATTTTATAAATATTCATGGGCAGAAAAGAATCAGTTTTATACATGAATGAAAAAATTAATAGGTTTTACTTGGAGTTTTTTTAGTAATCCGCATGATATGGTTAGGAACAACTAACAAATTCCACATAAACATGAGCCCATCAGAGCTCCTCTGACATCAGAACCCCCATCATAGGTCCTCTTACATCAGAGTCCCCCTTACATTAGGGTCCCAGTAGTGGCTATTCCCTGGTCATTTTGGACTTTTTTTTTCCCCACTTACATTAGGGACCCCATCATAGTCCCTCCTACATCAGAGTCCCCATCAGGTCTAAGAAAGAAAATGCAATCCTCCTGTGGATGTTGGGACTAGCAGGTTATTGGTTCATAGAACATCGATGCTCCTAGCAACCAACAATGGTACAATAACGTTTGCACTGGAGAGTAGAGGGGAGGAAGGGGGCGTTGAGGAGAAATAGAGACTGTAGGCTGACCTAAAGACTAGTGTGAGAGGTCACTGACCCTTGCTGTGGGCCAGATTTGGGTCGCAGCCCATAGTTTGGAAATCCCTGATCTATTGTAGGTCAATGGTGTTTATTCTTTCCAAAGCCAAGACCTTGAAATCAGCTAAAAAAAATGTAATGGAGCCCCAGTTTCATTCAACCCACTTCCTGTGAGCCCTGGGTGTCAAGGTTCCATCCACTGTCCTGGACTCAAAAGAGAATGTTTCAGAGCATTCATTACTTGGCACAGCTCTTTGCAATGTTTAAGATGTGAAGAGGGTGAAGAGGACCTGTGACATCATCAGACTGTACCAAAGATCACTGGAAAAAGGTAAGTGCTGAGATTTGTTTTTTGGCATTTTAAAGGTTTATGGGTTATTCCAAAAGCGGGGGGGTGGGAGTAGGGGGGGGGGGCAACATTGGGGGAAGGCCCATGTCCAGAGTTGGGCTTGGCACCATGAATATTTGCCATAAATATATACTGTGAGAACTTGCCTCAAGTAGTAGAGCTTTATGGACTTAGCCACTCTTTTACTTTTTAAAGGCTTTTCTTGCCTAATTTTAAAAGAAAAATTGAAAACAGTTCCAGACATCAAAATCAAAGAGTTTCACTTGCAGGGTTTTCAGCATTTAAAGTATTTTTAAAATATTTTACACAGTCTGACTGAAAAAAAGACAAAAGTCCATCCAGTTCAACCATTAAAAAAAAAATGTTATAATCCTATACCCACCGTTGATCCAAAGGAAGGCAAAAAAAAAAAACCCCCAGCAAAGCATGATCCAATTTGCTCCTGCAGGGAAAAAAATTCCTTCCTGATCCCCCGAGAGGCAATCGGATATTCCCTGGATCAACTTTACCTATAAATGTTATATCCAGTTATATTCTGTGTATCTAGGATAGAATCCAGGACTTTTTTAAAGCAATCCACTGAGCTGGCCAGAACCAACTCTTGAGGGAGTCTATTCCACATTTTCACAGCTCTCACTGTGAAGAAACCTTTCCGTGTTTGCAGATTAAATTTACTTTCCTCCAGACGTAAAGAGTGCCCCCTTGTCCTCTGTGATGACCTCAGGGGGAATAGCTCTACACCAAGTTCACTATGTGAACCACTAATGTCAAGCCCTCCTGACTCCTGGGCAGAGACCTCCTCTGTCTGCTGTGGTGGAGCCAGGAACCATGGTTAGGTTTCTACAAAACGCCCAGCACACACCTGCCCAATCAGTATGCTAGTGATTCTGAAAATTCTATCCCCGCAGTGTCTCACAGCTCACCGTGTACAAGGAACACATTAATGATTAAGGATGTAAAGACCACCAAATGGATCCTATAAAGGGGGGGTTGAGAGGACTCTGCGCATCAGTTTAGCACAGAGGCGATGCCGGTCACAACACTGGGTTGGCATCAGCTTCTCTGCATCTGGACTGTCTCTGTCCAGTCTTCACACAGACATCTCAGCTCTCTGTGCTGACAGGCCTTCAGCACATCCCTGCAAACAGCCAACAGCCTGGGCAAGAACTCTTGTTCCTAGAAGGTAGTGCTATCCATAGTTTTGCTGATTGGGTGGATGCCCAACCTCTTTCTGTCACTGCATGCAGACACCTTTACACCTCAGTTACTAGGAAACCTTTCTTTGAGCAGTACCAGGGCTTATCTGTTTAAACCTAATTGAATTATCTGTATTCACTAATGCTTATGGGCCCCACCATTGCTAGCAGAAACAATGATTATCACCATATCAGGAACTTTAACCACTTGCCCTCCTGAGGATTTACCCCTCTTAATGACCAGGCCTCTTTTTGCTACTCGGCGCTGCACTAATTCAACTGATAATTGCGCGTGTCATGCAATGCTGCACCCAAACTAAATTTACTTCCTTTTTTCACACAAATAGAGCTTTCTTTTGGTGGTATTCGATCACCTGTGTGATTTTTATTTTTCCTGCTATAAACAAAAAAAGACCAAAAATTTTGAAGAGAAACTATATTTTTTACTTTCAGCTAAAAAAAATATATAGTAAACTCAAAGTTAGTTATAAATTTAGGCCAAAATGTATTCTGCTCCATGTTTTTGGTAAAAAAAATCCCAATAAGTGTATATTGATTGCTTTGTGTGAAAGTTATAGAGTCTACAAACTATGGTATAAATACTGCAATTTACACATTTTTCTGCTATAAAGCGCTGCGCTAGTTTAACGGACAATTGCGCAGTCATGCAGTATGGTACATAAATGAAATGTACATCCTTTTTTTCCAACAAATTGAGCTTTCTTTTGGTGGTATTTGATCGCCTGTGTGTTTTTTATTTTTTGCGCTATAAAAAAAAAGGCTGACAATTTTGAGAAAAAAAAAACAATATTTTAGGCTTTTTGCTATAAAACATGTCCAGTAAAAAAAATTTAAAAATCAAATTTTTGTCATAAATTTCGGCCAAAATGCATTCTGCAACATGTCTTTGCTAAAAAAAAACCCAATACGTGTAAATTAATTGGTTTATGTGAAAGTTACAGCGTTTACAAATGGCGGGAAAGATACTGGGATTTAAAAAATTTTTTCTATACTAATAATGGCGGCGATCAGCGACTTATAGCAGCGATCAGAGACTTATGGCGGGACTGCGGTGGACATTCTGACACTGGGGGGGAACTGACTTGGGGTCACTGACATCCCCAGTGATACCAATACAGTGATCAGTGTAAAAAAAAACCACTGACACTGTACTAATGGCACTGGGGAGGAAGGGGTTAACTTTTTTATTTACTGAAAGGGTTAACTGTCTGAGGGGAGTGTTTTACTAGCGGGCGGGGGTGTGTACTGCACTGGGACACGCTGATCGGGAGAGATAAACTCTTCTCTCCGGCTCAGCATGTCAGGAGCTGACAGGGAACTGACAGAGAGCAGAGCTACTGCAGCCCTGCTCTCTGTCAGTGATTGCCGCTAATCGGCGGGACACAACCGGCAACAATTCGCTGTGACCCGGCGACTGACATCCGCGGCTGTGATCGGCGGGACAGGTAGGGCGGTGGCGCACCTCGCGCATGCCCCATGCCTGTTTTGCAAACACAGGTTTTTAAAACGTGGTTTTGCCCAGCTGTGCCGCCCTGCCAACGTATTTCTACAGTGGCTGGGCGGCATGTGGTTAATCTTCACAGGACTCTGGTTGCAATCTCTAGTTAAAGGGACCATTGCTATTCAATTTAGGGTATTTATATCTATTTATGCCAGAGTATACATTTACATAATTCTCTGCATGCCACCTTGCAGCACTGGTGGTGAGGAGGGAGCTGATAAGTCAGCAAGTGTTTTCTTCCCCTTCTTTCTGCTGGTGTTGCAATTACTGTATTTTTTGCTCCATAAGATGCACCTGACTGTTAAGATGCACCTAGGTTTTAGAGGAGGAAAACAAGAAGAAAAATATTCTGAACCAAGACTACAGACATAGTACAGGAGATGACCAGAGACTGGTGACATAGTACAGGAGACGACCAGAGACTGTGGACACAGTACAGGAGATGACCAGAGACTGTGGACATAGTACAGGAGATGACCAGAGACTGCTGACATAGTACAGGAGATGACCAGAGACTGCGGACACAGTACAGGAGATGACCAGAGACTGTGGACATAGTACAGGAGACGACCAGAGACTGCGGACATAGTACAGGGGACGACCAGAGACTGCGGACACAGTACAGGAGATGACCAGAGACTGCAGACATAGTACAGGAGACGACCAGAGACTGCGGACACAGTACAGGAGATGACCAGAGACTGCGGACACGGTACAGGAGATGGACCAGAGACTGCGAACATAGTACAGGGGGATGACCAGCAGACTGCGGACACGGTACAGGAGATGACCAGAGGACTGCAGACATAGTACAGGAGATGTGACCAGAGACTGCGGACATAGTACAGGGAGATGACCAGAGACTGCGGACATAGTACAGGAGATGACCAGAGACTGCGGACACAGTACAGGAGATGACCAGAGACTGCGGACATAGTACAGGAGATGACCAGAGACTGGTGACATAGTACAGGAGATGACCAGAGACTGGTGACATAGTACAGGATGATGACCAGAGACTGCGGACACAGTACAGGAGATGATCAGAGACTGCAGACATAGTACAGGAGATGACCAGAGACTGGTGACATAGTACAGGAGATTGACCAGAGACTGCGGACATAGTACAGGAGAGGATGACCAGAGACTGCGGACATAGTACAGGGGACGACCAGAGACTAGCGGACACGGTACAGGAGATGACCAGAGACTGCAGACATAGTACAGGAGACGACCAGAGACTGCGGACACGGTACAGGAGATGACCAGAGACTGCGGATATAGTACAGGGGATGGACCAGAGACTGCAGACACGGTACAGGAGATGACCAGAGACTGCAGACATAGTACAGGAGATGACCAGAGACTGCGGACATAGTACAGGAGATGACCAGAGACTGCGGACATAGTACAGGGGATGACCAGAGACTGCGGACATAGTACAGGGGGATGACCAGAGACTGCGGACATAGTACAGGGGATGACCAGAGACTGCGGACATAGCACAGGAGATGACCAGAGACTGCGGACAGTACAGGAGATGACCAGAGACTGCGAACACAGTACAGGAGATGACCAGAGACTGCGGACACAGTACAGGAGATGACCAGAGACTGCGGACACGGTACAAGGGGATGACCAGAGACTGCGGACACAGTACAGGGGGATGACCAGAGACTGCGTACACAGTACAGGGGATGACTAGAGACTGCGGACACAGTACAGGGGATGACTAGAGACTGCGGACACAGTAACAAGCATGAACAGAGTTCTTTCAGCAATGCACAGATGTACAGTTTGTAAGAAACAGCTCAGGGTTTGGTATAGCAGTCCACAGGCAGTCTATGGGGGGGGGGGGGGGGCATACCTGTCCAGCCGTGCTCAGCATCCTCTCTGAGGTCCAGGGGCGGGGCTCCCACTCACATCAGAACTTCTACTACAGCAGCTCCCTCTGGAACATAAAGGCTGCATGGGGGTGGGGTCAGTGGATCTTCCGGACCTGGCCCTGCCCCTCCCTGCTTGCTGGCCTTGTACTCCCAATTTTTTTTGGGAAAAAAAGTGTGTGTTTTATGGAGCAAAAAAAATACGGTAAATAGTTGGAACTTATTGCTCATGACTGCATAACCTGTTAAACCTGTTTCCTATTTTACCAGTGTTCTGCTTTTATGCGTCAACTGGGGTTGTATAATCTGAACCCATCATTTCTGTAACCTACTCTTTTGAACAAGTCTATCAAAGGATTGAGCCTCTTGCATATGACGTCCTCCCATTCTAATCGCGCATGCGTGGCTCCTGGAGCGCGCTGGCGATCGGCGGTGCTCTGTGGTCCCTTGGACACAGCGGATCAGCGATCTAGGAAAGAGCCGAAGATGTCGGCTCGGTCACGTGATCAGCTGTGTCCAATCACAGTTGATCACATGTAAATGGAAATGCCGGTTATCTGCATTTTCTCTCCGTCAACGATCTGTCACAGCAGACTGGAGGAGAGAGAGACCCGGTAGGTGGTGATCATATGTGCCCTGATCGATCAGGTTTTTGTTAGCCCCAGCAGCGCCCACCTGTCAGTGTCCATCAGGGCCCCCGATCCCCTATTGCCCGGGGGCCCCCCATGACTTGTCAGTCCGCCCCCCGGTCA